GGAACCGATGACATGTGTCAACCAAGTCAGCGAGCCTCCCGTTAGTCGCCTCTTACGACAAGCATGGGTTACTGAAGGTTCATTCTAACCCGGACCTTCACGGGTACGAAGCATGGGACCAGATGGACGCGAATTGCTTAACTGACAGTATCACTAGACGAATTATCTCCCTTGTCGACCCGCGTGGTGGCGCAGCCAAAACACTTTGATGTAGTTCATGGTACCCATACCAATGTTACATTCCTGTGTTTTTCTCCTATTCTTAATATTGGAGACTTGCACCCACAAGTGTCTGTATTCTCGTACTTTCTCTATCAAGGCCGACACGTTTCGACGTCTTGCTACAGTAGAAATAACTTTGTATACTTTACTCAAACAATCTCTTCGTTGATTGCAAGTGATAGTTTATCAATATCCCTAATTAGAATAAATGACGCTGATCATCTTTGAATCTGTCCTGTTTAACCTCATACCATGACAATATACGTCTCTGTAACTTGAGCATGAGTACATGCCACCATGAAATGACATCACTTATTCCTCTGCCACTGAAGCTGGTCATTGCTGGTTGTTACTCCTCTTGTCTGACTGACTGACTGAGTTTGGTTTTTACGCCGCTTTTAGCAATATTCCAGCAACATCACGGTGGGGGACATCAGAAATCGGCTTCACACATTGTGCCCATGTGGGGATTCGAACCCGGGTCATCGGCGTGACGAGCCAACGCTTTAACCACTAGGCTACCCCACCGCCCCTACTCCTCTTGTCACCTTCCATTGACATAAACAGGCGACAAGAAAAGAAACTATACATCTATGTTCGATAGTGGCTAAAGTAAATGAGTTGGGTTTTACGCCGCTTTTGGCAATAATCCAGCAATATCACGACGAGGGATACCAGAAATGGGCTTCACACAGTGTACCCATATGGGTAATCGAACCCAGACCTTCGACGTGACAAGCGAACGCTTCAACCACTGGGCTAAAGATTAAACCAACATGAAATGGTAATGCAATGTCTTCTGATCGGGTACATTTAAATTTCTAGCAACTGTAGACAACGTTTGACTTTGACCGACACGAAGGTGCTATTCTCCATATACAACTACCAAACCTTGATGGATCTGAGATGATGGGAAGATACACTTGAAGAAGGTATATTGTTCGTGTTTCATTAAACCCTTAATGAACTGCAGTGTGGAGGCACACGGACAACCAATCAATACCCATCGGTACCTTCAGCATGCCACCATATTGTTGTAAATGTCACCAACAGATGACTCCTCTGCTCGGATGACTATAAATGTTAAGTGTCGTGATGGGGTCACGGCATGGGAAACGCCTTCGCGTAATAATAACACTCAGTAAAGGTTACAATTATTCTGAGCTGGGCTCCGTCTCTTCACATCATATATACATTTAACGTGAAAGCCAGGTAACAGCTGGTAGGAAGCACTCGTGGTTGGAAGCACTCCCAACCACTCGAGTCAATCCCGTTCTAGTAGAATGGAGTTTTCAGGTAATGAAATGGGCGTGGTGACGAAACTGATTTAAGTTTTGCAAAATAGGTATTATGTCATGGGTTTTACGTGTTTTTCTATTATTGTTTCTTTAGCAGGCACTGGGTGTAGTCTGGAGGACTGTGAATACATAAACGTACTTTAGAGTGAGTGCGTTTAGTTTTACGCCGCACTCAGCAATATCCCAGCTATATGGCGGCGGTCTGTAAATAATCGAATCTGGACCAGACAATGCAGACGTTCTTCAGAAGGTGGTTCGATGTAATGTATGTTTAGGATGTATGTTTACGTTTCCTAGTAAACTAAACTCTCTAACTCTGTTTTTGGTGAATTCCCACCCGGGATTCGAACACACTATGTAGTTGACGGACTGTATTCTTTATTGTAAGGAGTTATCGCTGCAGATGGTACCAACCATGGCCATCAAGGCTCCGATAATTAAATGGACATACCGCCATTGCTGACATTGACGTAATGACCCGTAAAAGTCCAGATTAGAATTGGTATTCGCAAAGCCATGCTTATTGTAAGAGGCAATGACCAGGCTCCGTCTTGTGGCTCGCTGAATTATTTATTTACAAACCGTTGTCACGTAGCTGGAACATTGGTGGGTGCGTCGTTAAACAGCAAACAACCACAACCAGTCAATCCCCTTCCCCTTTAAGAACCTTCCCCACCTTCTGGCCGAATACAAGTAAGCTGTGAAAGTTTCATTTTGTCTTTAGGTATATATCATCTATCGGGCGGAATACGCCTACCTTTTCACGAACACTTGCTTTTTGACAGTGATTCCTTAACAAATGATCTAGTCGGATTCGTACAATGGACTCTGGTTTAGGAGATATTTCTAATGAATACAGAGAAGGTTTTATCGTTAGTAATGATATCGACTTGTAAGCCACACGTCGTTGACTGTTAAATATTTATAGGTATCCACACAAACTGCCCATTACAAGGGAACATTAACTTTGATGGCTGACGTCTCACTTCCGGTGCGACAACTGAAACTGGGCGCACTTCCGGATCTAGATGAACCTCAAGTATGTCCGGGAAAAGGGCGGCTGTTTAATGTCGACCCAAATACAATGGTTTGTAAGCTATATATCCTCATCTAAATATGTTGGGGATCATGACATAGGTGTGTTGACACCATGTATTTAAACAGATGCAAGTGATGACGGCAAATATCCTACTCAAGAACGTATTTGTATATAGGACCTTTCATCAACACACATCTGATTATTTGCACGTACCACACACGTGCAGAGGATGTCAGTCACGATTTTTCGATTACTTTGACTTATCTATGACGCACATCTAGCGTATAAATATATAAATAATTCAGCGTATCCATTGCGTATGAGGTACGTATGATTTGCGTAACACTATTTTTCTGTCCACAAATAGCTGCATATGAAGAGCACCTGCCGAGGGTATTTCGGACGCACACATTTTATGCCGGCCGCATGCCTGACGCACTTCCGACGAATGCCAGGCGTATTCCGAGCGTAGTCCCGATTTATTAATAAGGCGGCTGTTTCCCACTGTTGTCGTTACCAGTGCAGATTCCATAGCGTGAACATCAACCTTTGCCATCGAGCCATCGTATTTATACCAAATCTCGAGTTACCCTGGATGTTCGGCAAGTACGCTATTTGTCATAAGGTGCATTTGTCATAAGTAACAAATAAGTACAATGCGCTGTCCGATCGCAGGACAAATGGTACTGATTCGTGCAATACGTTGGCATTCGCTATGAGTTCGTTCAGCGTGCGTTGTGTCTGTGCTGCAAGTACGCTAGGTATACGTCCAATATACGCGGCTCATAGCTCGTTCCGGGAGATCAGCGTATTGCCGCGTATGAACCGCTTATCCCACAAGAACACATAGCAGACTCGTACTGCGCTCGACCAATGCGGGACCGATGCAATGCGTATTTATAACGTATGACCTGCGTAACAGCGTACGCAGCGTAGGTTTGTGCATGCCCAAAACTATCACGCGTATTGGCCCGTAATGGCGGCGTACATAAAACTTACACAAAACGATTGACATGCATATCACGTGCGTATTGTGCGTACGACTGCGTATGAAAGAAATGTCAATGCGCAACTCTCTTAATGAATTAGGATACGCAGAAGTATGACAAGGCCCTTAGGTCGGTATAGCTGGATGGGTCGTTAAACGGGTGTGTAACCTCACTCACTCTTCCATACCAGCTCGTGAAACAAGACCTACTTGCTTACACCACCGGATGAAATATGATCTTTCCTGTTTTATACGACCACACGCGCGGAGATGGAGTCTTGGTTTTGCAGTATCAAATGATATTTATACATATTTCCCAAGAAGTCAAGTTCACTGTTTAAACATGATCTCTTGGCATGCTACACCCGAAAATTGCGGTCTTAAATCACCCAGCGCGGTGCACGAATAGAGATTGTGTTATATGTTTTAAAATGTTATAAATATATACCTGCCAAGTAATCAAAGATGGGTATATTTAGAAGTAGCATTAACATCTGCTCATGTAGATGTCTTCTGTGGATGTCTCCTGTGGATGTCTTCTGTGGATGTCTTCTGTGGACGTCTCCTGTAGATGTCTCCTGTGGATGTCTTCTGTGGACGTATCTTGTACATGAGTCCTGTAGATGTCTCCTGTGGACGTCTCCTGTAGATGTCTCCTGTGGACGTCTCCTGTAGATGTCTCCTGTAGATGTCTCCTGTGGATGTCTTCTGTGGACGTATCTTGTACATGAGTCCTGTAGACGTCTCCTGTGGACGTCTTCTGCGGATGTCTTCTGTGGACGTCTCCTGTAGATGTCTCCTGTGGACGTATCTTGTACATGAGTCCTGTAGACGTCTCCTGTAGATGTCTCCTGTAGATGTCTCCTGTGGATGTCTTCTGTGGACGTATCTTGTACATGAGTCCTGTAGACGTCTCCTGTGGACGTCTTCTGTGGATGTCTTCTGTGGACGTATCTTGTACAGGAGTCCTGTGGATGTCTCCTGTGGATGTCTTCTGTGGATGTCTCCTGTAGATGTCTCCTGTTGATGTCTTCTGTGGACATATCTTGTACATGAGTCCTGTAGATGTCTCCTGTGGATGTATCTTGTACATGTCTCCTGTGGATGTCTCCTGTGGACGTCTCCTGTAGACGTCTCCTGTAGATGTCTCCTGTGGACGTCTCCTGTAGATGTCTCCTGTAGACGTCTCCTGTGGATGTCTTCTGTGGACGTATCTTGTACATGTCTCCTGTGGATGTCTCCTGTGGATGTCTTCTGTGGACTTATCTTGTACATGTCTCCTGTGGACATCTCCTGTAGACGTCTCCTGTGGACGTATCCTGTACATGAGTCCTGTAGACGTCTCCTGTGGACCTATCTGGTACATAAGTCCTGTGGATGTTTCCTGTTGACGTATCCTGTAGATGTCTCCTGTGGATGTCTCCCGTGGGCGTATCATGTACATGTACATGAGTCATGTAGATGCCTCCTGTGGATGTCTCCTGTTAGATGCCTCCTGTAGATGCCTCCTGTGGATGTCTCCTGTTGATGCCTCCAGTGGATGCCTCCTGTGGATGTCTCCTGTACATGTCTCCTGTGGATGTCTCCTGTGGATGTCTCCTGTGGATGTCTCCTGTTGATGCCTCAAGTGGATGCCTCCTGTGGATGTCTCCTGTAGATGTCTCCTGTACATGTCTTCTGTAGATGTCTCCTGTGGATGTCTCCTGTACATGTCTCCCGTGGATGTCTCCTGTACGTGTCTCCTGTGGATGTCTCCTGTACATGTCCCCTGTACATGTCTCCTGTGGATGGCTCCTGTACATGTCTCCTGTGGATGTCTACTGTGGATGTCTCCTGTTTCCACTAGTCCTGTAGATGTCTCCTGTGGATGTCTACTGTGGATGTCTACTGTGGATGTGCTGTCCTCCCGCGTGAGCGCTCATCTGAGTAAACTACCTGAGGGAAGTTGATCTGTATCATAAATTGTAACTGTGTAATGTGTACTTACAATGTTTATTATTGCAAACTTGTTCTTGTCACTATATGGCTGGAATAATGCCGATGTGACGTAAAGCCCAACTCAACTCAACTCAACTCAACTCTACTGTAGATGTCTCCTGTAGATGTCTTCTGTGGGTGTCTCCTGTGGATGTCTCCTGTGGATGTCTCCTGTGGATGTCTCCCGTGGGCGTATCATGTACATGTACATGAGTCATGTAGATGCCTCCTGTGGATGTCTCCTGTTAGATGCCTCCTGTGGATGTCTCCTGTTGATGCCTCCAGTGGATGCCTCCTGTGGATGTCTCCTGTACATGTCTCCTGTGGATGTCTCCTGTGGATGTCTCCTGTTGATGCCTCAAGTGGATGCCTCCTGTGGATGTCTCCTGTAGATGTCTCCTGTACATGTCTTCTGTAGATGTCTCCTGTGGATGTCTCCTGTACATGTCTCCCGTGGATGTCTCCTGTACGTGTCTCCTGTGGATGTCTCATGTACATGTCTCCTGTGGATGGCTCCTGTACATGTCTCCTGTGGATGTCTACTGTGGATGTCTCCTGTTTCCACTAGTCCTGTAGATGTCTCCTGTGGATGTCTACTGTGGATGTCTACTGTGGATGTGCTGTCCTCCCGCGTGAGCGCTCATCTGAGTAAACTACCTGAGGGAAGTTGATCTGTATCATAAATTGTAACTGTGTAATGTGTACTTACAATGTTTATTATTGCAAACTTGTTCTTGTCACTATATGGCTGGAATAATGCCGATGTGACGTAAAGCCCAACTCAACTCAACTCAACTCAACTCTACTGTAGATGTCTCCTGTAGATGTCTTCTGTGGGTGTCTCCTGTGGATGTCTCCTGTGGATGTCTCCTGTGGGTGTCTCCTATAGATGTCTCCTGTGGATGTATCTTGTACATGCGTCCTGTGGATGTCTCCTGTGGATGTCTCCTGTACATGAGTCCTGTAGGTGTCTCCTATAGATGTCTCCTGTGGATGTCTCCTGTGGACGTATCTGGTACATGAGTCCTGTGGATGTGTCCTGTAGATGCCTCCTGTGGATGTCTCCTGTAGACGTCTCCTGTGGATGTCTCCTGTGGACGTATCTTGTACATGAGTCCTGTCTTCTGTGATATATCTTGCAGATGTCTCTTGCGTGCGTGCATGCATGCAAACTAGAGTGTGCTCGCGTACGTTTGCGCAGATTGGATGGGTTCCTATATCTGGAAGATGCCGTGGTAACCAACACACCACCGCCCCCGTATCCGTCATCACCAACATTAACCAGTGATCCGACCAACACCGCTAAGAAATAGTTTAAAGGAGATTCTCTAATCGAAAGTAACTGTCGCACATAAGCACAAAAATACACAGTTAGGGCCGATATGCGAGTGAGGCGGGCCCTCGTCGAGATAATAAAACACCAATAACCATTTAACGCGTTTCATATTCCATGTCATGACAGTGACCGCGTTATCGATCGTACAGCGGATGTTGTATTTCATCTGCTACAAACTATGTTATGGTAAAGCAATGCGGCCGCCTTTCGCCGTAGCTAGACAATTCCAGTCGTATCGATTCTGTGAATATCTTCGTATTTCCTTCGTATCAAATTTTGTTTTGATTATGCCAGGCAATAAATGTGGATTTGGGATGGTCTGGCTTGCTGAAGGAAATTTGTGTTTCGATAAAGAATTAATTATAAGAATGAAGTAAGCCTGTGCAGGTGTGAATGGCGAGTCAGCAAATTTTGTTTTTCTTTAACCAGTCATTTTATTCGGTAGGAAAAGCCTAATGTATTTCCATATTTGTAAAACAATTCTGTTGTGAGATTTCTAATGTGAGATTGGAACCCACGTACATCGGATCCTGGCATGGTTAAGGGAAAATACTTGCTTCTACGTCAGATCTGCGTTAGTTGAGTGAATACGGTTTTATGCCCCTTTTAGCAATATTCCAGCAATATCACCGCGGGGGACACCATCAATCTGCTTTTCACTTTATACCCATGTGGGGAATAAAACCCGGGTCTTTGGCGTGACGAGCGAGTGCTTTAACCGCTAGGCTACCCCACCGCCCAGATCTGAAGGACAATACAAATACCGTCAGGCTTCCATTAGAAAGGGGCGCATGCTTACAAGCTGACTGATGGCACTGGCTCATAAAGTAAATGAGAGAATAAATTGTTCAGATTTAATTAAAGCTTTGACATCTAAACTGACAGATTTTAATATTACCTTTGCAGAATGAACGATGATATGTGTTTTGACTTTTTTGGTTCCAGATTAATGTGATTGCGGTGAGGAGTTCTAGCGAATCAGATATTAAACATTGAGAATATTACTTAAAAAACATGAAATATTTATGACATGTCATAACATATAGTATGACCAGAAATTATTGAGAATTTTAGGAATATGTTTAATTGGATTTCTAGTATAAACAACCTTGACCAGCTATCAAGTGCTTGGTTTCATTCAAGAGAGACAACTCTGTTAATCCTTTTTCATTAGTTAGTGAAGAGTTACCCCCCTTTGTTTACTGGCTAGCAGACGACATTTTCAGTGATCCTCAGTATGGCTGGTTTAGAGAAGAGGAAGTTGGTTTTAGAGTATTATAACAAGGACATCAGATCAGCTAAAGTGATTTCAAGTAGAACAGGCATCCCTTTGTCCACTGTTTATCGTGTTTTGAAAAATATTGCAAATGGATATGGCATTGAGCACCAGGGAGGCGCAGGTAGGCCCAGAAAATTGACTGTCAGTGACAGGAGGCGGCTTGGTATTCTTGTTTCTAAAAACAAACGACGGAGTTTAGAAAACGTAAGGCTGGATATGATTGATAGAGGAACTGTGGATGTCTGTAAGGAGACAATTAGAACTGAGCTGCAAGCAATGAGTTGGCAGAAAAGTCGAGGAATTCCATCACAGATCATGAAACCTGAACAAAGAAGCAAAGGTTGAACTGGTGCTTACAGCATAGAAATTTTAACTGGGACAATGTGATTTTCTCAGATGAAAGTTCTGTGTGACTGTTTCCTGGTACACTGAAATTCTGGACCAAACAAACTGAAAAACCTTTGTATCAGCGCCCAAAGTACAGTCCGAAATTTAACGTATGGGGTGGCATATCTGTGTTAGGGGCACCGCCTTTCTGTGTATTTGAAGGGAATATGAACAGTGAGCGGTACACAGATATTCTCGAGGGACATTTGCTTCCATCTGCTCACGTGTTCTATGAAAATTTTGGATTTTCCAGCAGGACAGCGACCCAAAACATCGTTCAAAGCATTCACAGGCCTGGTTTCGGACCCAAAATATGACATTATTAGATTGGCCAAGCTATAGCCCTGACCTAAATCAAATAGAAAATGTTTAGGGACTTGTGAAGGAAAGTGTCAATAAGAAAAATCTGACAAATATTGCTGAAATAAAAGAAGAGGTGGTCCGATATTGGGACAGCTTGGACCACGACTTTCTAACTTCTTTGATCAGTAGTATGCCCCGCCGCATTGAAGCCTGCCCATGGTGACTTGACAAAATACTAACTGTTCACCTGTCTTTGAATCTGGAGTTATGTTCTGCTAATATTCACATTAATACGTGAGTAATGAGTGAAAATAATAAAAATAATTACAATCTTTAAATTGTCAATAATTTCTGGTTGTACTGTACATTACATAACGTACCACAGCCACAGAACTGTACAGCCATTTTCTCACCGAAGTGAGAGTTTAGTTTTACGCCGCACTCAGCAATATTCCAGCTATATGGCGGTTTTGTCACCGGAAGTACTGTATAGAGTTTAGACTATCTGTGGAAGCAGATTTTATTGCGTCTGAAAGGCAAAGTTGCTGTGAAAAGTATATTATGATTCACTAATTATCAAGCTTTGGCGACGAGTATATCGGTTACACAAGCCACTCTCACAATTAGCATACAAAACTATGTGTACGATTGTTGCCCAACAACGCCAGATCTCGGTCCGATCTATTACACGACTCGGTGAACGTGGAATTTTATCGTGCTCTGGTCATTGGTGTCCTGTATTGGCCACGTGGTGGGTGGTGAGGCGTGAATCATCCACAACTGTATCATGTGTTGTGTCAACATTGTACGGAGTGGTGGAATGGGAAGGTTTTCTGTTTTGGGATCATCTTCGAGACTTTCCTCCTCATCTTGGACTCACCTGTCAACCTCTTCACCTCTTAAGCCCATTTTTAATGTCCCCGCAGTGATATTCCCGGGGCGCAGATGTAACCTGAAGTTGACACGGTTTTTTCATGGGTGGTTCAGTTACGAGGCGAGGTCATGTACTTGCTTCTTTAAGTTTGAAAATATTGGCTCGGTATAGTCGTAGTTCGTTACACGCATTTCGACTGAAAGTGGCCGGGACATAAAGTTCTTAACATCCGTCAGTTCGTAACATCCGTCTGTTCGTAACATCAGTCTGTTTGTTCGTAACATCAGTCTGTTCGTAACGTCCGTCAGTTCGTTACATCCGTCTATTCGTAACATCTGTCAGTTCGTAACATCCGTCTGTTCGTAACACCCGTCAGTTCGTTACATCCGTCATTTCGTAACATCCGTCAGTTCGTAACATCCGTCAGTTTGTAATATCCGTGTGTTTGTAATATCCGTCAGGCTTGTCCGTTATAAACATCGTTTACTGTATTTTACTGTGTTTACTGTCACCTCCATCTGTTATGGAATAGGTTGTGACACCTGGATGTCCGATCCGCATCCCAAGACTTGTGGCCCATCACAAGGAAGACATGGCAACCTGGTTGATTGTGTGTCAACACATCCCGTCAGTGAAGATCGGGCAACCTGGTTGATTGTGTCACCACATTCCGTCAGTGAAGATCGGGCAGCCTGGTTGATTGTGTGTCAACACAAACCGTCAGTGAAGATCGGGCAACCCGTTTGATTGTGTGTCAACACATCCCGTCAGTGAAGATCGGGCAACCTGGTTGATTGTGTCACCACATTCCGTCAGTGAAGATCGGGCAGCCTGGTTGATTGTGTGTCAACACAAACCGTCAGTGAAGATCGGGCAACCCGTTTGATTGTGTGTCAACACATCTCGTCAGTGAAGATCGGGCAACCTGGTTGACTGTGTCAACACATCCTGTCAGTGAAGATCGGGCAACCCGTTTGATTGTGTGTCAACACATCCCGTCAGTGAAGATCGGGCAACCTGGTTGATTGTGTCACCACATTCCGTCAGTGAAGATCGGGCAACCCGTTTGATTGTGTGTCAACACAAACCGTCAGTGAAGATCGGGCAACCCGTTTGATTGTGTGTCAACACAAACCGTCAGTGAAGATCGGGCAACCCGTTTGATTGTGTGTCAACACATCTCGTCAGTGAAAATCGGGCAACCTGGTTGATTGTGTGTCAACACAAACCGTCAGTGACGACCGGTGCTCGTGCTATCGATCACTAGTTTGCTTAGACAAGATGTGTTTGTTTACCGGTCGTTGTGATGTTGCTGGATACATGTGGAATGGTTTTAAACAATATTAAGCCTCCCCGACAATATCTACCTCACTCACTACGCATAGGTCCTTCATCTTTGACTCTCAATGTGAAGTTGAATAAATGTCACAGTTTCACGCAAAGAAGTACACATCACAGATTTAAATTTTACGACACATTGTCAGTTCTATGATCTCTCCTGCAGTCGTTTCAGCAAAACCAATGTGGCCAAAGTGGTCGATGCAAACTGCTTACCTAATAGATATCGCTATATTTCATATATTACTAAATTACAATTGCAGAGTTGTTTAATTACAAAAACAACATATTTTCGCCCAAGTATAGATGTTTTAGAGAGCTTCGGAAATTCAAGCACCTTGACAAAACTCAACAATAGAATCAAAATCCTCCCACGTTTCAACACGTTAAGCCAAAAAGTGTAACTACTAGTAACTCATATATACTTAAACGCTTGCTTTGAAGTTAAATTACGACTGACAACAATATCTGCCAAGGCCGAGTGAACTGACAAGAACCTATGAATATTGATAGCTTGAAAATTGTAAAGGTTTTCTTGAAAACGGCGCAATAATCTAAATTATTTCAGCATACTTATTTAATAATGAGACACATCCGTTGAAACATTTATACTTGAGTGTAATTTGACATCAAATATTATTATTCTTTCAGGTGGCAACATTATGTTCAACTGTCTATGTGTTAAAACAAGGGGCGATAAGGGTGTTATTTGCCATTTCCGTCTTCGATTTTTATCCCTGATCCAATATACGTCTCATGCCTCTCACGTTTGAGCTGAGAGACAGAATTCCAACAAAGTTAGGTGTAATCACGTCTCGAAACACATCGTGAACACCGTGACACGTGGTCGAAGCGTCAATAGCAATGTTTAATGTATAAACCTCTCGAGAATTCTCTTCTCCGTGAAGTCGTTAATCTTGTTGCGTGGATCCCTCTTAACTTAATGGACTAGCCCGTGGTCAGGATGGTGACCAGGAGTCGGGTTCGTATCAGAAATACTATTTTCATAACTATTTGTTGAACACCGTGACACGTGGTCGAGGCGTCAATAGCAATGTTTAATGTATAAACCTCTCGAGAATTCCCTTCTCCGGGAAGTCGTTAATCTTGTTGCGTGGACCCCTCTTAACTTAATGGACTAGCCCGTGGTCAGGAGGGTGACCAGGAGTCGGGTTCGTATCAGAAATACTATTTTCATAACTATTTGTTGAAAGGTAATGTTGTGTAGTGTCAAAATGGCAGTTGAGAGTTTTATGTGAAAGGAGACGATCCAATATTAAACACTCGTTTCTGTCAACAATGTTATACATATCTATGAACGCTTGAGTTGTATTCCACAATACATACACACACCAGTCAATTGATCTCGTTCAAGTGATACTTAAGCCACTTTATTGTTTGTTTTTTGTCTTAGCAATATTTCAGCTACACGACGGCGGTCTGTTCGTGACTGAACCTGGACCAGACAGTCCAGTGATTGACATAATGGGCATCGACTACGCAATATAAACCGATGGCATGCATCAGTCAAGTCAGCGAACCTGACCACACGATACCGTTAGTCGCCTATTACGACAAACATGGGTAGTGAAGACCAGTTCTAACCCGGATCTTAAGGAGAACACGCACGGGTAGTGAAGACCAATTCTAACCGATTTATTTTTATTAAAAGCTGTAAGAGTGAGTAAGTTGCTTGCAGACAGAAGATCATAGTAAAAATGTGGGATTCGAACTCAATATTCTGAAGCCGATACATACATCCTAAAGGGACATAGCTCTGAAAAGTGAAAAGCGAGCCTCAGTGTTCTGATAAGCCATGGGTGGTATTATATGGAACAGTCCTGTTAACTTGAAGACGTAACCCGAGGCTCGCTTTTCACTTTTCAGAGTTAACAGGACTGTTCCATATAATACCACCCATGGCTTATCAGAACACTGAGGCTCGCTTTTCACTTTTCAGAGTTATGTCCCTTTAGGATGCATGTATCGGCGTCAGAATAATGAGAAAACATCCGTATAAATGTGGAATCTGTTTGGATATTATCCAAAAAGTCTGTTACTGACGATGTATAGCGTTTCTCCTCCAATTCAGAAACCCATGATCAACAAAGGCACAACTCCACGCTCGCCACAAGTCACACTATTGATTTTTACCACAAGATATAAAAGAGACGCTTTTTAGCCCCCACCATTGCGGGCCTCATTGATACGCCAAGGTCGTGTGTACACTCAGTCGCTTCCCGTCAGAAAACTGTTGCAGAGTGGTCTCGGTCGTCGTGGACTAAAGTGTGTGTCGCCCTTGCTCCCCACGTTGAATACTTGTGTACATATACCGGATTTTACATACATAACCAAACATGGCTTCCGTCGCACCAGCGGTAAGTACAACCGTTGTATATGCCACTATATTACACCTCGTGGATAATGTTGTTATCACCTGTCTCGCGCAATCATCACTGTCGTCAGGTGTGATTGACGGGGACAGTAATCAATATCACTCAATATCGTTGGCTTCAAGAGGAATTCGGTCATGAATAAGCAGAGAAATACGAATATGTTCATAAGACCCGAATTTAGTAGAGCGGAGCGAGGTATTTTTGTAATATACAGGGGAAACACCCACTAGGAACATACAGGCGGTATCAACGAACTCGTGTAAGTCGTGACATGATCTGTGAACAGTTGATACATGGAGAGAGAGAGAGAGAGAGAGAGAGAGTGTGTGTGTGTGTTGGTCTGTGTCTCTGTGTGTGTTGGCCTGCGTCTGTGTCTCTGTGTGTCCGGCCAGGTACAAGCTGGGGCACTCATTTTACCAGATGGGCCTACTTTAATCCAAGTGTATATGAAAACACATGTGCATCTCGACATTTATCATCGCAATCCAATCACCCTCTATCGGCTGTTGAGCATCGCGTGGACACCGCAGGGAGAAGTTGCAATATATCGCCGTGTCCAAGTTAAACTCGATATTTTATCACTGTCAGATAGTCTCCAGTTTTCAATTAGGCTGATCAGGTTAGACCATAAAAAATGGCGGGCGGTTCAAGCTGAGAGAGGCGCTTTTTCCTCGTCCTCTCCCTGGACAGTCACTTCTTTCAACTGACCCTCACCAGTCACATGACCAGTGCTTCCCACCCACGTCTTGACTTCACGACGAGTGTAGCTGCACCCCAGTATTGTTTCCGTGTTAGTGAGTTCGGTTTGATGCCGATGTGGACAGTATTTCGGTTATATCGGGGTGGATCGGCTTGCGGTGGGAGGAAAGTATCTCGTGATGCAGGTCCGAGATTGTAGGACTTAGAGGAACCCAAGAGCAAGGCCATAGATTCGAACCCATAATCACAGGCGTCTTGCAAATCTGCACTGCTTGTCTGTGATAAACACACACCCCCCCCCCAGGAAACACGCGCTGGGACTGTGTATGCTTCTACCACCTAACTTCACCCTCGTTAAAATCGAGTAATTATCTATGTGTGACTCAAACGAAGTTTGAATGTTGTAATGTAAATATCAAAATATCATTCCTTTTGTGCCCCCATCCACACCCACCTTTCTCTGCCTTTGTAATACAGGTGATCGAAGGTGTCATTTTCACCCCACCTCCCACCCCATACTCTGTCGTCGTTATAACCCCACCCACAACCAAACCACACCCACCACCTAATCCCACCCACCACCAAACCCTGCCCACCTTATGACCTCAACCACCATCCATCTCCACACACCACACACGAGTGGTGTGTAGTTCTGTAGAATATAGTTAGCCACACCGCGAGATATGACTCACACATCCTCCCCCATGTATGACCCTACACCCACCCACCCCATCTCAAACCACCCTCCCCCGTACACCCACGCCCCTTAGCGCTTTGTCCAGAAGTGAAGGTCACACAGACGATTCCCAACACCCATACATCTGTGAAACCGAACATTACTCAAACCACCACCAGACAATGGCGAGACTGACCCTGGTGAAAGATCTCAGTGTTGCAATGCTAGTTCTCATGAACTGATGACATTCAGCGGAATGTGACGACACCTCAGAATCAAAGAGAATTTCATCGGAAATGGAGCATTGTGTGACAGTTCTAATGTCAAACAGCTTGTAACCATTCCGAGTGACGTGTTGTCACACTGGAAGGGACGCCGGGATGTAGTTACAAAATTAGCTGCTTTACCCTCTTCTACTTCAGCTGGGGATATAAACCATTAAACACGTGTCAAATATTCTTAAGTCCAATATATGCCCAGTTTCCGTAATGTCAGTGAAATCACTGGAATGTTTCGCCCGGAAGTAGAACCAATTCGCACCAATCACACCGTATTCATGGCAGACTGGGTCGACCTGATATTACTCCTGGAATGAAGAGATTCCAGTGATTTCTCCGACACAAGCCATTCCCTATACTTCTGCACAATAGCTTGAAACTTATATTTGTTATAGTACACGTTCTGATTGGCCATGAAGTTCAAGGTTCAAAAGCAACGATAGCGTGACGTCATAATAATATCTCTAATAACGAACCTCTTCTGAAACTGCATAACTGATTCTACTTTCAGTTTTTATGTTTCTCTGAGGAGTAGGAGCGGTGTGTGAAGGTGTGGGTGTGTGGCTTCATGTGGGATTAAAGACCAAACTGATCTAGATGTGATACACAGCCCCCTGGTGAAACCCACGTGCACAGGCGCTGACAAATATAGTGATGAGTATTGTTGTACGCCGCTTTCAGCAATGTTCCAACAATATGAAAGCGGGGAACAGCCGAATTCGGTCCTTGTGTGGTCAACCAACCTGGGCCTTCGGCGTGACGAGGAAACACGTTTCCCTATGGGCTAGCTGTCGCCCCCTTTAAACATAATAGGGGCGGTGGGGTAGCCTAGTGGTTAAAGCGTTGGCTCGTCACGCCAAAGACCCGGGTTCGATTCCCCACATGGGCACAATGTGTTAAGCCCATTTCTGGTGTCCCCCGCCGTGATATTGCTGGAATATTGCTAAAAGCGGCGAAAAACTAAACTCAGTCAGTCAGTTAAACATAATAGGACTGACTGCACTCACTCACTCACTCACTCACTCACCATGCTTCACCACATCGTGTTGCCATTTTAGCAAGAGTTGTCTGGCAGTTAAATACGTAGAAGCAGAAGTCCGCGGCGCTTCACCGTGCCGCAATGACGAGTTTTAACAGTAAAGCCAGTGGGTCTACGCAGTCCAACTGGCAGATTACTTGTTTGTACACACAGAGCCCACAGCAACCCTCCCCTGCTGTTGGTGAGGTAATGTGCCGGGGACCCACATTGCTGTGTTTGCGCCGTATGCAGTCTGTAAACATTCGAGCCCGCATGTCGGCACCACGACAGTGTCTTGATACATGCATGTGTCACATAAAAGCCTGGTAAGCCCTGTACCATGTGAGTGCCTTGGTATTATTACTGTACCATGTGAGTTCCTTGGTATTGGCACTGTACCATGTGAGTGCCTTGGTATTGGCACTGTACCATGTGAGTGCCTTGGTATTAGCACTGTACCATGTGAGTGCCTTGGTATTAGCACTGTACCATGTGAGTGCCTTGGTACTATTACTGTACCATGTGAGTGCCTTCGTATTAGCACTGTACCATGTGAGTGTCTTGATACAAGTATTGTACCATGTGAGTGTCTTGATACAAGTATTGTACCATGTGAGGTCCACAAGTGACCGCGTCACTGTGTCGTGAGAGTGCGATGTCGGATCATGTATGGACAAGGCATGATATAGTCGGACTCGTGATAACATGTTATCCCACCAGCGTGAAAGACAAGGTACCCAACCATTTCCAGCTGGTCTGAAATTACCGGGGTGACACACCAGGGGATATGACTCATGTGTCTAAAGTACGGACCCAGACAGGCGGGTCGTGACGAGGAGCGAGCAGATAAGCATGTCGGCACAGGGATTAGAATGTCCGTAGAAGACGGAAACAATGTCGACTTGAAACTGGCCTTGAGTTAAGCAGTTTAACTGTTGCTGTGACCTGCGGAAATAATAAATACATGTATGCTAAATAATATTATATATATATTCCTACAGTCACCTTACCTGCAAAGTAAATACTTATCGTCACGACACACCGACACACTTTGACTATTTGCGGCAATTAGCTACGTGCTTGGTTAGGCAGCTTGATACGGCATCTTCAGACCTCCCAAAAGACAGGCCGCTTAAAACAACACATTTTATAGTTGCATAAGGCTTAATTAGGTTTAGTAATAAGTTTTGAGTGTTGTTGCTATACTCTGTAGTGACTCTGGGCAAGCTCATTAATTAAATAGGGGTGGACAGCATGGCTCAGTTAATTAGTGTACTCATTGAGTCTGTCTTATGGGTGGTCTGTCTTTTGGTAGGTCTGTCTTTTTGGGAGTGAACCCTTGATACAGCTGGCACGTGTGTACCCAGCCTTAATACTCTACAATACACTATCAGACACGATATACAACGCCCGCCATTATCCGGGAAATACTCCTGCAAGAGACGGAGTAGGTGTTAGTTAGATTCAGCGCTGCCGCTCGTATATCATGAAGCTGGTTCAACCGGTATGATATACAACTGCAGACCGTTGACCGGTTTGGGTTGTAACTTTATATTATTAAGAGGTAGGAAATAATCCTGTACGTTATCGTAAGGTACAGAACAAATTTCCTGCATTGTCAGTTTAAATTTTCACATACAGTGTCCGCACAAGTAGCATCTCTACTTCTCGTAAGTGTAATTAATCTCTGCAAATGTCAATACAACCTCTATTTGCCATGTGCCGCAACCCGGATGTTCCTTTACAGTCAGGCGGTTAGTTCGGATGAATACTGTTGTTATATATGCTATATTTATTTTATGTGTGCTAAGAACATTAATCTGTCCAAACGATTCGTTTATCTGTAAAACTGCCCAGGGCTCCAGATAAGGGCCGTATCGGCGTATGCACGGATAAAAAATATGCACGATACGGTTGGAAATAATTTAGAAAACGTAGCAGATACGCACCACGGCAATGGTGTACGGTCTTAGAATCATTTACAGACGTATTCATCTGAAAAATTATTGTTAATTGACCTGTTTATACAAGAGTACCAATGTTGTGGTGTATATATGAAACGCAACACAAGATTACTGATACTCCATTGAATTCCATTCAATACCCTAAATGTACTCTTAAGGTTTTCCAGTACTCCTATATTGAAAAAATAAGAAGTACGTACTCCTGATGTTGAAAAATTATCTGGAGCCCTGCTGCTAATCCGACTATGTAACTGGTAACTCTAGCATCCTGATTAACGGAGTTAATATTCTTGTCTCCCCCCTCCACAGTATTTCAGTACGATGTGCGTGGCTCTAATGCGTAATAC